AATTTCGTACTACCAGTATAGTATTAGAGGAAAAAATGTTCTCCTTGGCAGTAATATACAGAACGCTTAGAGTAATAAAAACTATCTTGTGATCATGGCAATACACAATTTCAGAACCATATATTTTATTAATGAATGACTACTGTATTTTTTTTCTTTTAAAAGAAGATTAATTGCTTATAGCAAGCAAACTTTTCTTCCAGCATTCATACTGTGAGCTGTTTATCTGCATCTTGCTATTGCATATTCTGTACTTGCCCAATGTGAAGAGTGTACGATGAACAGAACAAATGCAGAATATGCAATCACAATCCCCAGTATGGGTTGGAGAGGAACCCTAAGTATGCTCAATTATATAATGTTCCAATAAGGGTTTGTTCATTTTTTCATGCAATACCAGTTTCACAATCCCTATGCAAGTAAACAGGTTAAAATGACTGTCACTATTACCTATTTTGCTAAACCAGTATCCTGCAGAATTTATATCCCCTATCTTCCTCATTCTTAAAGAGTATTTAACCCCCATTTGGATTAAACATGTTTTAACCCACTATAATAAAATGTGGCGAGTGGATGACTACTCAGTTAGACAGAAAGAAGTTTGCATGATACTTAGTCATTATCAGGTATCTCAAAGGTAAACAGTCTCTCGGGATTACTCCAAACATGATTCGTAAAAATATACAAACAAAAACAGCTTAATTTGGCATATGAACCACCTCTCTTGTACTGCAATGGGCAGTACTCCACTAATTACAACCTCCAAGAATCCACATCACGGGAGTAGACAGGTACCTCAGGCGATTCCAAGTCATTCTATTCAAATTTGTGAATCTTCTTTCTAGATAGTGCCTCTGTGACAACCTTCCATTGACCTATCCAAAGGGGAAAAGGGCTTCTGGAATGACTGAGATGTTTAATAATTTCTGTTGTCAACACAGGACAAGAAAGAATGGATAGATCTCCTAAATAGCATAACAAATCTACTAAAGAAATGAATGCCTTGAGCACCAGTTTCACAGTTTTGGAAATGGTATCAATATGAAGTGAAATTTCACTTCAAAAAAACCTAATCTATAATATGAGTACTGGGGTATAACCTGTACTGTGCCAAATTCTCAAGCCCTTTTGGGGAAATAATGAAAGCCTCTCTCCACTATTTTCTTTCCAAGCATTTCAGAAATGTTCAAAATATTCCAGGGAGGCCAATCAAATAAGACAGTTCAATTATTCAAAACTTTCACCTCACCTGTTCACTCCAAAATGCCAAAGAAAACTCATCTTGTACAAAATTCAATTATATTCACACACAAGTCAAGTAATTTACTTCATGGAAATATGTCAACCTGAATGTTACTTTAGTTCTTTCTGGTTGCCTACCTTTTATTAGCGCTTTGGGTGGGTTTTGATCTGTAACTGAGACGTATGCCTTGTATCTATAATGGTATGCAACAAATCCCAAACAAAAGCAAAGTCTTTTGTACAACCAACCATGAGCCATTACTTCCCCAAGAAATTTTCCTTGAAAAAAAATTTTTTTTTTGAGGTGTAGCATCGAAATAAACCAAGCAAGCCAAAGGGAATCTAGCATATTATTATTATGCTGCTACAAAACTAAACTCATATTTTGCTGGTTTATTTCACAGCCCAATCCCTTTTTATCAGGAGTCAGGCTGAGGAAAAATAGGTGGAGGTACTCCTCCAAACTCCACCCATCATTGAAGTTTTGCCCATCAACTTGTCCAAATAATGTAGTGATGAGCAGATGCCACTGTGATGGGCACTGTGTCTCAACACATAGACAGAATAGAATAGGGGTGGAAAGTAGCCTTCCCTAGTGGAAACCTGCATGTGATGGTCATGGTGGAAATACTACCTGGTTTCCACCAAAGGATGAATGCGTCTGCTGCAAAGCTCAAGTCCTCCGTGTTGGGGGTCTCAGATTTAAAAGCACTGGGGGAGCGTAGAGGAATCTTCTATCCCGTTATGGGCATGCCTGGGGTCACACAGAGAGCAGGCACCCTTTTGCTGCAACAGTATCTCCTGAACCCCGCTGCTCATGAAGCCCACATCCCCCCCACTCTTTGGCATTGATGGCTCCTGCTCCTGACAGCTAGAAAAGGATTCTGACGGGAGCTGCTCCTCCTGCTCCCTCTCCCCCCCTGCCCCTTTTACTTAGCTGAGTCTTAGTACACAAAGGGCCCGAGCCTACCCATACTGAAGTCAATAGGAGTTTTTCCATTGATTCCACTGGGAGTTGGCTCAGACCCAAATTCAGAAATGTTCAGATGTAGGTGCAAATTAATATTTAGGCCCTTAAATCAGAGTAGTCCAATTTTCAGAGCTGCTAAGCAAGCACTCATCACTTTGCACCTCTGAAAGACCATTTTTATTTAGGTACCTAACCTTAAGCACCAAAACCTGAGAATTTCAGCCAAAGTCCCAGTATGAAAGAGAATATGATCAGTTATAAAGATAAGTAGATTAAAATAAAACCCTTTGAAGTGCTCAAGGGCATTGCAGCATACGAAAAATCACAGATTTTCAATAATAAAAATATGACAAGAATTGCAACTAAGATTAAATTTTTTTTAATAGCTTTTGTTTTGTTTCTAATTAGAGATACCATATTTCCATAAGTTAAGGAATGTGTCTAGGATTTAAGACTGTAGTGATTACTGTTATTACACTAATGGCACATACCAATGTTTTAAAGTCAACATACTGTTTGTCAAATATATTCTCAACATAAAAGAAACTGCTAGTTTCCAGAGCATGATCTGTAGGGCATCCGTCTGTAGAGGTGTTGCTGACCCACCCATACAGAGAAAAGTCATACTGTACTAAACTCTGCTTCGTCTTACTCATTGTACCCCAAACAAGTCAAAATATAGACTCTTGTGCCTGATTTAGCATTCCAAAACAGCCAGCATCCAATCACAGGAATCAGCAGAATGAGCAGGACCCTTGTCTCTCTATAATTCCTTCCCATATCTTAAAGAGACAAGGTGGGTGAGGTAATATCTTTTATTTGGACCAAATTCTGTTGTTTCCATATTTTGTTTTTTAAAACACCATCTAAGTTATTCCAAATAGTACAGTAGAACCTAAGAGATACAAACACCAGAGTTATGAACCGACCGGTCAACTGCACACCTCATTTGGAACAGGAATTATGCAATCAGGCAGCAGAGACAAAAAAAAGGAAATACTGTACAATACTGTGTTAAACAAACTACTAAAAAAAAAAGGAAAGTTTAAAAAAGAATTTAGACAAGGTAAGGAAG